AATTATGACGGGCATATTCCCGAATGATTTCAAAGTGGCTATTATTTCACCAATTCATAAATCAGGGTGTAAAACGCATTGTAATAACTAATAGACCTATCTCGGTTTTGTCTGCAGTAGCCAAAATATTAGAGAGCTTGATTGCTAAACAACTTGAAACTTATCTGGAAGAGAATGGCGTGATCACAGAACATCAGGCCTGGTTTAGAAAGCAACATCTTACCCAAACATCCCTTCTTAACATTACAAACGAGTGGTATATAAACGTGGACAAAGGATGTCTGCAGAAATGGTGTTCCATTTCTTGATTCAAAAAAGGCCGCTTTGTTTGTGTAGATCATGATATTCTTCTCAAAAAATGCATGTGTACGGCATACAAGAACAAGCACTTAAGTGCAGGTAATTCAGATCCTATTTAACTGACAGGACACAAATGTGCAAAATAAAACAAATAACATCTAAAGTGAAAGAATCATAAAGTGCGGTGTTCCTCAGGGCTCAAACTAGGCCCACTACTCCTTTTGATATATATTAATGATTTACCTAACTGCCTTTCTTCTAGTACTAATGTAAGTATATGTTTGCAGATGATACAAATATATCATCATGTGGAGCAAACGTACATGAATTAATGAAAGATTGAATGAAAACTTGGAGAAGGTACATCAATGGATACTTGCCAATAAACTCACATTAAACAGCGAAAAGCGAAAAACTGAGTATATGATAATAGGATCTAAACAACGTCTAGCTAATATAATTAATGATCCACAAATGAACTGCGAGAAACAACAATTAAACGAGTTAATAAATCCAAAACATTAGGTGTATAGTAATTGACCATTTGCGTAATAGACAAAATTTTGATCTCAACAAGTCTAGACAAAAATTTCATCACATCTTGAAAGAGCATCACAAAATTAGTAATATTCCAAAGTTTCGTTGCGAAATGTTGTAAAATGCGGATAATATAGGCATATAGCCTTGCGAAGTTTGCAATTTTCAGTCATTTTAGATTACAAACGTACGCATGTCTAGGTGTCACGCTAAAAATAGTTCGGTCGCGTAGTTTGGTCGAATCCGTTCAAAGCATTTTAACTAAGATCTGACGTAAACGGTCAAACAGCAGTGAATTAAGCCCGCCGCACACGAGAGCTACTTGCTGAGCTACTTGAGAGCTACTTGACCTCTCGAGGCCTTGAGGAAAATATCTATCGTGTTTGATATTTTTCGCTTCGCGAGGAGAAAATCTCAGCGTCTGCGGATGTTGTGAGCTAAGTGCTGAGCTGTTTGAATCAATTAGTCAATGACAAACCATGGTTTCTTCATGTGACTTGGAACAAAATGGAGGAAAATGCAAATAATTTTGTTAATTATGTTGTTGTTGAGTAGTTTTCCCAACGTGTGCGGTGAAAATACATAGCTGAGCTAACGGCCTCGCGAGGCGGTTAGCTCAGCAAGTTGCTCTCGTGTGCGGCGGGCTTTAGCTAGCAGGACGGCGACGGCTATTAATACAATGAAATTTATGACAGTGTAGAAAGGAAATGCATAATTAAAGGTCTCATGGGAGTTTTAGACGTCGTCCTTTCTCTGTTTACAACAGCAAACCAAAGATTTTCACGTTTTGTACACAACGTCTGCCTTTCAAGCCGCGAGAAGTAGTCCTCGCCAAATTAGTGGCTTAGTAGAAGTCTTCTCAACTATAAACCTCTGTCTTAACCTTCTTAAATTGCAATAAATTCGAGAATTCATACAACGGATAATACAAGACATGTTGATCTTAAAGTTACGTATTCGAACGAGTTTATTTTGGCCGTCGTCGTCGCGTTGCCGTCACCTATTTGCTAAAGGTCCCTGATAAGAATCGAGAAATTCGATCGACCAATCAGAAGTGCAATTTAAAGAGCCCTTGTGTGCAATTCCTAGTATTCAATGAAACATGAGCATTATCTTTAAAACGATTAACAATTATCTTTATTTCTTGAAGTGGTCATCTCAAAATCAAAATAGAATGATTATAGGGCTTGGTAAGTTTGGTATATCTATACTATGATGATATCGGTCATTAGTATAACTGTCAAGGAAATATGTGAGATGCTGCCAAGACAAAAGTATATTCGCGTCTGTGTCAACATGTATATGTGCGTTCGGGGCAGAGGTTTCAGCCCGTCTCCAGTCAGCGTTTGGTCGGGTATATTCTAGTTTAAAAATCGGGCAGATTTTTTCCCAATTTTTCCTCGGCAGAGGCTTTTATCGAAGGAGAGTTCCCAATACATTTCAATCTATAATGATTTTCGTATGAGTATTAATTATCTCAATAAATACGCATTAAATCGTAGAGAAATCATACTGACTTTTTATTCGTCAACTTATTTCACATGTAACATTTAAAAGAAAATAGCTTTAAGAAAATGCTTGAAATTAACATACGTGTAATGATCATTGTTTATATATAATGTTCACAACTAAGAAATATGAAAATAAAGAAAGATCCTCGCCTGTTTGTATCTTATAAGAAACAAACGAGACAATGTTTAAATGTCATACATTTCAAAAAGCATCATCAACATCGCAAAACATACCACGACGAATTTTGTAGCGATAACAACACGAGCTGAGGATGTCGTTTTTGTAGCAGCTGGAGTAGCAGTAGCGGTAGTTGTAGGAAGCTGAGTGGTAGGAGGTTGAGTTGTGGGCATTTCATTTGTTCCCTCCGTACAATTCAAGGGATTACATTCGTTGCCTTCAATCTTGAACGAAGCCGAGTCGGTGTCGGAAGTTACCGAGACATAGATTTGTCGTGTGAGCTCGTCGTCAGCTGACCGTTTCACTTTTGGCTTTGTATTTGCTACAGGTATAATGGGTGAAATGACGATGATTTTGTCCGTTTGGGTTGAAGCGTCGTAGACAATGTCGTAGTCGTACTTGTAAGGGTGAGGATTCGTCCGAGAGACGTAAACAATTGTGCTACCAGATAAATCGACCACATTGATCTCGAGGTTTGAAGATGGCTTCACTTTGTATCTGAAATACTGATATGTACCCTCTGCTACATTTGTTGTTATTGTCTCGTTAAGAGGTACAGGAAGGGGTTCATAGCATGTTGCCGCTGTTAGCGTGGAAATAAATATCTCAAGATCGGTAAAAGTAGACAGTGTGTAAACGTGTGATTTAGAAGTAGCAATGTCTTCAAGTTGTCCAAGACTATACCCGCCGATTCCAATTGCATAAACAACGATGTTTTCATCTCTTACATTCTTTGCTGGAATTGAAACATTGTCATGCGATTGACCGTCCGTTAAAACAATCAAAATACGAGGAACGCCATCTACCTCTGGACGCAGACCTCGTTCTTCGGTGAATTGATCGGTTAAGATGTGTTGTAGAGCTCGACCAAGTTGGGTACCTCCACTGGAATAGGAAACTCGACTGATTGCGGAAAGGTAGGCTGACTGATTTGTGTAGTTTGATAAATAGAAATGTGATCTGTAGCTGGAACTGAATGTAGACAAACCGAATCTGGTACCATCTTTTCCACTGAGTTTCTCATCTGGAAATGCTTTTGTCATGTTCTTTACAAAATCGAGGCTTTCTTGAAAGTTTATGCCCCCAACACTGCCAGACTCGTCTATCAAGAAAACAACGTCAACAGAGCGGTTGCATTTCACAAGAGTCGCTTCAATTATGTCCGCTTCGTCGTTTCGTCTTTTCAAATCTCCTCTGGCCTGCTCGTTCTCATTCTCGTAAAAATTTCTCAATTCTTTTATCGCATTGTCCCAATCGTTTTTCGTCACAAAATTCCAAAAACGTGGATAAGATGTAGGATAACCAAACTGATACCAAACGCTGACGATGGCTGTACGAATACCGCGAGGAACTGATGCAAACGCCAACTCGTTCACATCTTTATCGCTGTCGTATCTTTTTGAAACTTCAGTAACCACATCGTTTGTAGCAGCATTTGTCAAAGTGTTTGCCTGCGCTAGCGTTAGGTTCAAAGGACGTTCAATCGCAGCACAAGCAGCGAGATTTCGTTTCAAACCAAAGTAAGGTTCAAGTTTGTCAACCAGTGTGCTTGACAATGACGTGACAGACGCCATCGACTTGCTTCCAAAATCAACACCAGCACCAACCGTAACGCCACTATGGCCAAGGACGTCACCAGATTTTGGATCGATTGGGACGTATCCGCACAGAGTGAAACCTTCATGACAGTTCAGAAACTTCTGGTCAATCATGGGTGCTGATGTTTCGCTGCCTTGAGGAATTCCGGACTTCCAGGAAGTTGGGCAGTCCAGCTGTTCAACTTTGCAATTTGTTGGAACTCGACGTTTACCGATGTAATCTGATGGTTTATATCCACTTGTGCATTTGTGTGGATCAGCATAAACCATGCCAAGCCCAAATACAAGAAGAATTGAAAATCTCACGAGCATTGTAACTAAAATCTCACCGAAACAGCCAAAACAGCAGTGAAGGAGACAATGAAACAGGAGCAATTGACAATTATTTTTAAAACGCAGTTCAATTTTATGTGATGTGAGGATGTCCACTTCGGAAATTGACGGTAGGTCGAGGGTGTACCGATTCTTTGTTTTTCGAGTTCGACTTGATTTCGGAAAATCCCGATCATCAATCATGGTCACGAGACAGCCATCATACAAATATTGCGAAATGCGAACGTTTATGATATAAAACAGTCTTTTCTTGCGTTTATTACGCGATATTTTTGTTTATGCCCGAATTGTAAATCGCAGAACTAGTTTTGTCAAAGCGCAAAGAAAAAACCTATGTTTTTGAGGCAGAAATCATCTCTATATGCTATCGTAGACTCAGGTCTCGTGGATATCAGATTGCTTGTGAAATATAAAACTGTGAAGTAGTCAATACTCTACAAAACGTCGGTTGAGATAGAAGCAACTACCTGAAAATACAACGACAAATTCGACGTTTCGAGCGACGGCTCTTCGTCGGGTCTTCGCTTCCCGGTAGTTGCATCCAAATGACCATATCAACTGAAATTTTGTTATTATTGGTACTACTAGAGTTTGTTAACCAGAGATTTATCTCATGACGTCGACGTACAGGGTAGAACGTGAACTTTGTAACCGATTATCGCAAATTAAAAACAGTCTTTCGTGAGTTTAATACACATACATTTAGCCATTCGATTTGTAAATCACAGAACTGAATTCGCCAAGGTGTAAAGAGAAAATCGTTTTGGGGGGAAGAAATTTGGAGAAAGCAACTATGTTCATATTATAAACTGTCACAAGTTGGGTGTCAAATTGCGTCTGACATATTTAAAAGTCTACGATATTGCATATTTTGCATGTAACAGGGCTAAAAGCTAAAGGATTCATAATTCAAACTATATATTCATATTGCTAATATTTAAAGGGTAAATTGACGCGACAATAGCGGCATACGGCCGCACATATACCTTTAATAACAGGAACGTTTCAATACGCTTATGCTAAATGTTTCAACCGCCTTTTTTATTATGATTACTTCGAGAGTAAAAACATGGCCTATAACGATTGTATGATAACGTGTGCGCGAACGTTTCTTACTCCTTAAAGGTGATGTAAAGTCCGTAATGTAAACAAACGCTTTGTTTACATTTTTAACTCACTGCTACAGTTGTAAAATATGATTAGATATATATTATACTGAATTTTTAACACTTTTCTGGTTCGTTATGCTTGTAAATGAATACAGACTAGAGATTCAATTCAAGAAAGTTCGGAAAGAGCGAAATATTAACAACATTCCAAAGGTTGCTCTCCCACTGATGGAATGTTTTGATGCGCAGAATATATGCGCAGAACGGACTTTACCGCATCTTTAAATATTCATAGATAATTTTATTACATCATTATCGGTGGCATAGCGATTGGTCACAAAACCTGCTGTTGATGGTTGCACCCGCGTTAATCTCTTCATCAAATATACTGCAAGAGGTTCCAGGACCGAGCTGTTATAATCTAGTCTCGATAGAACTAGGCATTCAGCGAGTTGTTTCTTTACTAAAGCGCCATATGTTTTAATTTTCGTAATACAGCGAGGATGGAATAACACGAAGATATTGCTTTATTAACGTGTTCTGCATGTCCAGGATAACTGTTGGTTCATCTGTGTGCCCAACAATTTAACAGACGAAAGTCTCTCAAGACTGGTTCGGTCGCAGTTTTCCAATTTATGGACACGAGACATTTGCTGCGTGGAAAATGCCGTGGCTTTGGTCTTCGAAGCATTGAGTGTCAAGTTGGAATCTGTAGACCAGGACTCCATTGCATCCAATGCTATCTGCATATCAGATTGTCGAGATTGACATTGTTGTAGTGTGTTTGGCTTGCAATGGCCATACGTGGTAGTGTCGTCTGCGTATTGGTGAGATTTCACTGATTTAGACAGTTTCTCATTTGAATCATTAACGTATAAATTAAATGAGACAGGGCATAGGATTGACCTTTGCGGTCCCCCAGATGTGACAATTATCTTTTCCGATACGCGGTCATCAATATCAATTTGGACGAACTGCCGCCTTCCATTGAGATAATTTGTTATCCATTGTAGAGAGTTTTTCGAGAATCCCTCAGCATAAAGTTTCAATAGTACTTTCTCATAGGCCACTGTATGGAAAAAGCAGCCATAACAGCAATTGTTGTTGCGCCCCTGTTTAGGTACTAGTTAAACCATAAGGCGATCTGCGAATGTTTTAACGTGCTTAAACAACGACCCATCTTATGACTTCATTGGCATAGTAATTTTAAAAATAAACATTGTCTAAGCCGAGAAAATTCGCAGAAGTTTATGTAAATCAGGACAAATCTTTATCCGATTTACAAACATTGATTAAACATTCGTTTCTTTTGTATTTTCCTCGTGAGGATACTCACTACTCAGGTTGCCTCGTACCCAGTCCCAGGCGCTTTAAGTATACATTAAATATAATACGGGCAGGTAGGCGACGCGAGAAGGCGCTGTTGGGAAGGGTATACATTTCCCATCAGCCCCTTCACCTTTCTCTCGCCACTACAATACTTCAGTGAAGTATACTCGTCATACGCGCATCGCTGTTTTTTTACAACGAGACGTTTGGGTACGAGGCAGCTCTCAGGGATAACGACTGGATATTAAGGAGCATAGCGCAAGAAAGCTGGGGTATCCGTACAAATATCCTTCAACAAATCAGAAGTTGTTTTGTCCAGTTACTGTTAATCAGCCTGTTATTATCTTTTGCTGTTTAACACTAGCCACGTGTACGCAATGCGTACCTATTTTTTCCTATGTCGCGCATTTGCGATGATTACATTTAAATCTGTAATAGCCCACATAATTTCTGTATGAGGAAAGGCAACTAATTTTCTCTTCCAAGAAATTTCGAATTCAGGATTTCATTCATAAATACATTGCTGATTTCAATTTATTGAACTCTTAAACCCGTTTTGAAAATCATTTACCAAACTCGCGCGAAAATACACGCACGCTTTCTGCTAATATTTACAAGCCTAAAATGTAGGTTTGTATAGACCTTATTCATAAATTGCAATCGGAGCCTCGATCACGAATTATCTCTAGATATTTTGGTTATAATTATTGCGCTGCAACAGTGATTCGCGCGGATAGATTTTTGCTGTGATGTTATGTTTTTGCTTTTGGTTTCTGATCCCTTTAGGTTTCTCATTTCAATAGAATAATAGGGCACACTATAATTATATCGGTCTTTAATATAAACTGTTAAGGAAAATATTTGAGACGCTGCCAGGTCAAAAATATGCTATACTTTCTGATAAGCCCTTATGCATGGTTAACACCAACGTAGCTAGTTTACTAGAATCTAAAATTGAATTTGAAATTAATATGCTTTTGGTTGGAATATAAAGTTGTTGTTGTACATTACGAAATGTTTCGTTCAGCGTTCACACCTCGTTCACTCCGACACGCGCCAATTACCTACACAGCTCTTGCGCCCTTAAAACTGAACAAACTGGGGTTTTCCGAATAATCATTCGTCCGCAGAGGCTTTTATATCTTGTCTTTCTATCGTACATTCCCTAATGCGCAATGTAAAGCGTAGTGAAATGCGCCATGTAAATATTATAAAAAACTTCTACGAAGTAGAGCTCCCAATGCATATATACGACATCATATACACTGGCATGAGCTTAATATAATTTACATGAACTTGTGGTTAGAGCTCCACAACAGGGACTCTGTAGCTCAGTTGGTTAGAGAGCTGCACCGGAATCGCATACAGTTGCATTTTTCGCAGCTGCTCCTGGTTAAGTTAAGTTAAAAAGAGATTTACACTCTGAATTTCGTCTACAAAATCCCTCCAGCGCTTCTATATACACTTCTTCGCATTTTGGCGCTCTGGGGGTAATTAACATTTTTTTCGCACAATCAGAGATTTTCCACAATTCTCTTCTATATATACAGCCAATTCAATTAACGTTGTCCTTTGAAGGTCAGAACTCACAATCTCAAAACTTCGATCTCTAAGCGCGAAAAGCACAATGGGTAATGGTTATTCGAGATTGATTATGCATGCATATTGGCACTATGCAAATGAGTTCATGTAATCAAGTGAGACAAGTAAATAGTATCCTATTTTCTAGACTTGCTTCAAGTGCGTCTCAGGAGAAAAGTAGGGAGAGACGGACTTGGGACATTCGCAGCATTTCGAATGTTACTTGCAAAAATTGGCGCGAAAATTTGTTGTTGTTTTCAACTGGCAAGCCACGCCTCCGTAGGAAAAATCCGACGGTAAATTTTGGTGCGCTTGCAGGGTATCCAAGTCCGTCATCTCTGCCTACTTTTCTCTCATATTTTCGCGCCTTTTTTTGCCGTTTGCGTGCATCGCTATTTTCAACCCTTGAGAGACGGACTTGAACCAAGTCTACCTATTTCCCAGCCCTCACCTCTTTGCTTAGTGAAAGTAAGTTATGAACAAACTGTGAACCAGCGACATAAGTATACAAACTGGAATACGAAAGAGAATTTTACCTTTGGGACTATGTTAAAACTAAATTCTAGTCTAAATAGTAAAGCTACTAGATACAGTAATCTTAATTTCCTATGCCCTAAATATAAGGGAGAGACTGAAGGTGGTCGTAAATTTGCTGTTACGACCATAAAACAATGGAACCAGTTACCTAAGACAGCGAGTGAAAAAGAATCCGTGGCATCATTTAAACACAACATGAAACTGCTCTTGAAGGAGAGCTACAAAAACATTGATAATTTTATCACATAATCTTCTATATATTTTAGATGTAACATAGTATAATAGTTTTTTACTCCTGAGTAGAAATATGTACAGTATATATAAACAGTAGTTTATAGGTTCATAGTATATTAGAACAGTTTGAGAGGCACAAATTTATCAGTGTAAACTGGCATGTGTATAACTCTCGTTAAATTAAGTCTTCATTCAGAAGTGAGTGGGTGTTTTCCCCGACCTTGGCCGCCGGAAAGAACTGAGCGAAAGGGCCATTTTACAGTTCTACTCACCCTTCTGTAATCTCCAGATTCTATATTGCACCTGCGCGTGCCCCCTCAAGCATTTAATTCATTCTTTGTTACTTATTTTCCACTTCACATATCATTATTAGCGCTGTGAACAGATCGATTGCACGTTACGTCACAGCGGTCATATTGGTGGTATTTCAAATAAAGAATCGCTTATAACTGGTTTTCACTTTACTCTGCACTATACCGGCATATTAATTTTTGTGTCTGCGCAAGTGCTCTCACCACCCGACTCATATATCTTACGCATTAATTTCAACACAACTGCTTTCGACTGTCTGACAAAAGTTGAAAAGCACCTGTGTTGAAATTAATTTCCATCATGAAAAATATCGATGAATGACCGATTGGAAAGAAGCCACACTTCAGGGGAGCGCTACGGTTTTGGGGCGGGCCAAGATTTTTGACCCTGTATTTGAAAGGGGTCGACTATTTTTGGGCGGCCCTCCTTTATGAAATTTCACTAGGCCTCCACCCAATAATTGACGACTGCATGGTGGGAAATGAAACATTTGGCAAGTATTTACTGGGCAACAAAACAGAGCGTCAGAGCCACACATTTTTTTAATATTACTTAAATTGAATATACTGGGATTATCTGTCACAATAGAATGACGATATAAGAGTGCAAAAAATCTACATGTCTATGTTTGCTATATAATAATCTTACAGTTTGGCCATGGAGGTATTCCTAAAATATTCTACCAATTTATTTGCTCACACAAACCAATTCATTGAGACGGTTGACCAATTATCTTCAACTTTCTGTATTTGATCATTTCTGGCCACTTCCTGTCTCTTCCTGATTGGTCAATTGCACCAAAACCAAAGGTGATTGATGCATTCAACAGGAAGTTTATCAATTATACAGGAAATTGTCAATTTTTTGAATAACTGATCAAATAAATTGGTTCGTGTGAGAAAAAGAATTGATAAAATATTGTAGGAACACTTTCATTGCGACGACTGTAAGAAAATGCTTAAAATTAACATACGTGCAAAGATCATTAATTAACTAAGACTGAATATGAAAATAATGAAAGGTCCTCGCCTATATTTGTATCTTAAGAAATAAACGAGACAATGTTCAAATGTCATATATTCGAAAAAGCACCATCAACATCGCAAAACATATCACGGCGAACTTTGTAGCAACAACAACACGAGCTGAGGATGTCAGAGGCATTTCATTCGTTCCCTCCGTGCAGTTCAATGGATTACATTCGTTGCCTTCAATTTTGAACGAAGCCGAGTCGGTGTCGGAAGTTACCGAGACAAAGATTTGTCGTGTGAGATCGTCGTCGGTTGACCGTTTTCTCCTTGTATCTGGTATGGGCCGAGCTGAAATGACGATGATCTTGTTCGTTTGCGTTGAAAGATCGTAGGAAATGTCATTGTCGTACTTGTAAGGGTGAGGATTAGTTCGAGAGACGTAAACAAGCGTGCTACCAGATAAATCGACTACATTGATCTCGAGGTTTGAAGATTCGCTTACTTTGTAACTGAAATACTGATACGTGTCCTTTTCTACATCTGTTATAATGGTCTCGTTAAGAGACGCAGGACGGGGTTCATAGCATGTTGACGCCGTTAGCGTGGAAATAAATATCTCAAGATCGGTAAAAGTAGACAGTGTGTAAACGTGTGATTTAGAAGTTGCAATGTCTTCAAGTTGTTCAAGATCATACCCGCCAACTCCAATCCCATAAACAACGATATTTTCATCTCTCACTTTCTTTGCTGGAATTGAAACACTGTCATGTGATTGACCATCCGTTAGAACAATCAAAACACGAGGTACGCCATCTACCTCTGGACGCAGACCTCGTTTTTCTGTGAATTGATCGGTTAAGATGTCTTGTAGAGCTTCACCAAGTTGGGTACCTCCACCGGAGTAGAAAACTCGATTAACTGCGGAAACGTAGGCTGACTGCTTTGTGTAGCTTGATAAATAGAAATGTGATCTGTAGCTGGAACTGAATGTGGACAAACCGAATCTGGTGCCATCTTTTCCACTGAGTTTCTGATCTGGAAATGCTTTTGTCATGTTCTTTACAAAATCGAGGCATTCTTGAAAGTTTGTGCTTCCAACACTGCCAGACGCGTCTATCAAGAAAACAATGTCAACAGAGCGGTTGCATTTCAAAAGAGTCGCTTCAATTATGTCCGCTTCGTTGTTTCGTCTGATCAAATCTCCTCTAGCCTGCTCGTTTGGATTCTTGTAGAAATTTCTCAGTTCTTTTATCGCATTCTCCCAATCATTTGTCGTCACAAATCCCCAGAAGTTTGGATACGTTTTAGCCGAAGGATAACCAAACTGATACCAAACGCTGACGATGGCTGTACGAATACCGCGAGGAACTGATGCAAACGCCAGCGCATTCTCATCTTTATCGCTGTCGTATTTTGTTGAAACTTTATTGACAAAATCGCCTCTGACAGCGTCTGTCAAAGTGTTTGCCTCCACTAGCGTTAGTCTCAAGGGACGTTCAATTGCAGCACAAGCAGCGAGATTTCGTTCCAAACCAAAATAAGGTTCAACTTTGTCAACAAGTGCGGGGCTTATACTCAATGACGTGAAATACGCCCTCGACTTGCTTCCAAAATCAACACCAGCGCCAACCGTAACGCCACTTTGTCCAAGAACTTCGCCAGATTTTGGATCGATCGGGACGTATCCACACAAAGTAAAACCTTCATGACAGTTCAGAAACTTCTGATCAATCATTGGCGGAGATGATGCGCTGCCTTCAGGAATTCCCGACTTCCAAGAAGACGGGCAGTCTAACTGTTCGAAGTTTACCAATGTAATCTGATGGATTATAAATACCTCTGCAGTTGTATGGCTCGGCGTAAATTATGCCAAGCACAAATACAAGAAGAATTAAATACCTCACAAGCATTTTAACTAAAGTCGTACCGACTAAGGCAGTAAGGGTGCGTAAACAGCCAACACTTTTGTGTGAAAGAAAAGGCTTGGCTAATAGCGCAATTTATATAGTACGACCAATCCACTTGAATAAACTGAACTGACCAATGAGAACAAGTGCAATTTGAATAGCTATTCTGGGCAACTCCTAGTACTCAGAAAGAGAAGATGAAACATAAACAAGGATTATCGTATGTTTACCGTAGCCAGTAGACCATTAAGTTATTGAACTTCATTGTTATGGCGTAACATTCGCTGCATTTTAACGTTATAGTAAACGGTAAACAGGTTTTATAAATCTGGAAAGTCTTCGAAATTTCAAAACATGTGTTACAATTGTCTCCTTAAACTTGGTGATGCATATCCTACGCAGATTACAGGCTGTTTGGTGAAACCCTGATGACTTGAAAGCGTGCCGAATTATGAAATGTCAAAAGTCGAGAAGCGCAATCCAATCTGTTGTTTGTTACAAATGGATTAATTTTCTCTTCCAAGAAATTTGGAATTTCATTCATAAATACATTATTGCTGTTTCTGAACCATCCTCAGACAGTTGAATATCTAGTTTCATATTTATTCTGACACTGCGCAGTACAATGAAAATTTCGGGGCCTGGTCATTTATCCACCTAACATAGTCTGTCTCAAGTTCTGGTGAATTATAACCAGATGCCCAGTTACCTTGACCAGACTGTTTAGGAAATGAGGTAAAATAAGCAGGAAATTTAACCAGGAATATTGAGATAACCTGCAGCTATAGGGTTATTTCTAGGTTAACCAGGCTGTTTTAGACGAGGCTGTTGTAGTTTTCCCATCTATTCGAAATTCAGCACAATGACAAGTCTAACATGTTCCATTCTGAAAAGTGTGGAATCTGCTACTCATACCTTGATTGGACTTTTCAACCTTTCGATTATGAGGCAAAGCTCTCCCGACTAAGCTAAACCTATCGGTTTTGTAGCTTAGTTAAATTTCAAGCAATGCAAAAAGTATTATGATTTCTAACCCGTGCAACAGACGGACATGCACATGCTGTTAAACTGTCTAATTAATTAAGTGTTCAGACTTGAGACTTTCAACGTCATTCGCGAGATTTCTGCTGTGATTCTTTGTTCTATATATAGTTCTTTATTTAACTTTACGTCGGTTCATGTTCAAAATTATTAGCTTGTTACTGCTTTTGCTACTATATCACATCATAGATTGCACGTGTATGTTGATTTTTGCGTCTGGAAAATGCTCATTTTGTTTAAAATGGGCATACCACCTAATTGATATCTTACCTTGATTCTTTCGAAAGCACCTGTGTTGAAATTAATTTAGTGTTTGTAGCTGCAATAAATTAAGGAAATGCTTAACATTTACATACCTGCAATTATCATTACTTATATTAATGCATGTTTACAACTAATTGTCCATTTATATTTCAAAAAGTCAATGTTCAAATGTCATATCGTTCAAAAAGCATCAACAAGATCGCAAAACCTACCACCACGAACTTTGTAGCAGTAAAAATACCACCTGAGGATATCGGAGGTGTAGGCATTTCATTTGTTCCCTCCGTACAGTTCAAGGGATTACATTCATTGGCTTCAATCTCGAACGAAGCCGAGTCAGTGTCGGAAGTTACCGAGACATAGATTTGTCGTGTGAGCTCGTCGTCGTCGGTTGACCGTTTTCCCTTTGTATCTGGTGTGGGACGAGCTGAAATGACGATGATTTTCTTCTTTTGCTGTGAAAGGTCGAAGGAAATGTCATTGTCGTACTTGTAAGGGTGAGGATTAGTGCGAGAGACGTAAACAAGCGTGCTACCAGATAAATCGGCTACACTGATTTCGAGGTTTGAAGATTCCTTTACTTTGTAACTGAAATACTGATACGTGTCCTTCGCTACATTCGTTATTATGGTCTCGTTAAGAGAAACAGGACGGGGTTCATAGCATGTTGATGACGTTAGCGTGGAAATGAATTTCTCAAGTTCCGTAAAAGTAGACAGCGTGTACACGTGTGACTCAGAAGAAGCAATCTCTTTAAGTTGTTCAAAATTATATTCGCCGATTCCAATTGCATAAATAACGATGTTTTCATTTCTCACATTCTTTGCTGGAATTGAAACAGCGTCGTTCGCTTCGCCGTCCGTTAGAACAATCAAAACACGAGGTACGCCATCTACTTCTGGACGCAAACCTCGTCCTTCGGTGAATTGATCGGTTAAGACGTGTTCTAGAGCATCACCAAGATAGGTAGATCCATGGGTGTACGACACTTGACTGACTGCAGAAAGGTATTCCGACTGATCTGTGTTGTCTGATAGATAGAAATGTGATTTATAGAGAGTACTGAATGTGGACAAACCGAATCTAGTGCCATTTTCCCCGCTGAGTTTATCATCTGGAAATGCTTTTATCATGTTCTTTACAAAATCGAGGCTGTCATTAAAGTCTCCGAGGGAAACACTGCCAGACTCGTCTATCAAGAAAACAACGTCAACAGAGCGGTTGCATCTCACAAGAGTTGCTTCAATTATGTCCGCTTCGTTGTTTCGTCTGATCAAGTCTCCTCTAGCCTGCTCGTTCGGATTCTTGTAGAAATTTCTCAATTCTTTTATTGCATTGTCCCAATCGTTTTTCGTCACAAATCTCCAAAACCTTGGATAAGCCGTAGGATAACCAAACTGATACCAAAGGCTGACGATGGCTGTACGAATACCGCGAGGAACTGATGCAAACGCCAGCGCATTGTCATCTTTATCGCTGTCGTATCTTTTTGAAACTTCAGTAACCACATCGTTTGTAACTGTACGTGTTAAATTGTTTGCGTCCGCTAGCGTTAGTCTCAAGGGACGTTCAATCGCAGCACAGGCAGCGAGATTTCGTTTCAAACCAAAGTAAGGTTCAAGTTTGTCAACAAGTGTGCTTGACAATGACGTGAAAGACGCCCTCGACTTGCTTCCAAGATCAACACCAGCACCAACCGTAACGCCACTTTGCCCAAGGACTGCGCCAGATTTTGGATCGATCGGGACGTATGCACACGAAGTAAAACCTTCATGACAGTTCAGAAATTTTTGGTCAATCATTGGCATAGATGTTTCGCTGCCTTCAGGAATTCCCGACTTCCAAGAAGACGGACAGTCTGTACGCGTAAGATCGCAATTAATTGGAACTCGAAGTTTACCAATGTAGTCTGTTTGAATATAATTACCTTTGCAGTTATATGGCTCGGCATAAACCATGCCAACTACAAATACAAGGAGAATTAAAAACCTCACAAGCATTTTAAATAAAATCTGAAGTGAAATGCCTTTTCGCTTATTCAATCACATCCGGTAGGATATAAAGTTTCGCAATGTTTAATAGGAGGAACAAATGAACTTGTTTTATTATTTGCAATTCACAGGTTGGTGCCAGACAGATACAGACATTAAATTCACTCAATTTACATAAATATTAGATATTTACCCAATTAACATAACCAATCCTCGTAAGTACAAAGACGCCCACTGTGCATTTAGCTCTTTAATGTCGGGGATTTTGCGATTGTGAGTTTTGACTTTGAGAGGGCTGCGAGAGGAGAACTTTAATTGAATTAGCTGTACATCTCCTGGGTTTTTCCAACACAGAGAAAATAATAATCTATTATCACACAATCAGATATATTCGGCCATTCTCTTATTCCCTGTCGTTACTATGGTTTCATATATTCCCTTTCTAGGGTAAATACCTTTAAACAAATGAAATGCATTGATTATTTGCTCTGTTGAATGTCGGTACATGTGATGCAGCCTCCAACATGGCAGCCGTAACGTCACATCAAACTCAGCTTTGCAAATACGACAATTTTTTATACGATCAACTGACTCTTCGGGAAATTCAATTGACCAATCAGAACAAGTGCAATTTGAAGAGCCCTTGTGTGCAATTCCTAGTATTCAATCCAACAGGAGCAACAATTATCTTTTAAACGCAATTAAATTTTTATTCGATGTCGGCCTATTTGAGATCAACAAATGTTTCTCGAAGTGGTCATCTCAAAATAGAATTTTAATGATAATAGGGCTTTGTATACTATAATTGTTCGGTCATTAGTATAAACTGTCAAGGGAATATGTGAGATGCTGTCAGGACAAAAATATACTCTTGTTTGTGTCTACATGTACATATATGCACAGTGGCGTAACGGAAGAAAAGGGGGCCCTTAAGCATATTTGGTGTGGGGGCCCCTGTTGACTTTTGTTATTGCTTGACTGGGATATTATATTTAGCTACATTGAATACTTATAGCTGAAGCAGGGTTGAAATTTCAACCCCGGCTTAAACTCGGCCCTGGGTTGAAAATGTTGTCATGTAATCGCGCGTTTGAATTTAATAGAGTTTTGTATTACAGACATGGCTGAAATTTTAACCCGGTCAATAGGGCTGAGTTCAACCCCGGGGTTGAAAATGCTCCATGTAATCGGCCCCTAATAAGAATAACATTTGTTTTATTTGAGATAGAATAACAAAATCAGTTACCGTTGTCGATGGAGGCTTTATTATTTAGCTTTATTAATTTTGCATTTTCCCATTGATTTTTAATTAACCTGCATTTTGGGCGATAGGCCGTGGCTGATGGGGGCCCCTAACTGTCAGGGGCCCTTAGTTTGTGAACTAACCCTACCTAATGAGCGTTACGCCACTGTATATGCGTACGGGGCCGGGGGGGGGAGGCTGCAGCCCGTCCCCAGTCAGTGTTTAGTCGGGTAGATTCTACTTTAAAAATCGGGCAGATTTTTTCCCAATAATTTTCTTCGGCGGAGGTTTTTATCGAAGGAGAGTTCCCAATACATTTCAATCTATAATGAATTTCATTTGAGTACTAATTATCTTAATAAATACGCATTAAATCATAGAGAAAATCAAATACTGACTTTTTATTCATTAAGTTATTTCACAACTAACGTTTATATGGATTTCAACTTTTCCGTGCGTACTTACTTAACTTGGAAAGTAGCTTTAAGAAAGTGCTTGAAATTAACATACGTGCAATGAGTATTGATTATATAATGTTTACAACTAAGAAATATGAAAATAAAGAAAGGTCCTCGCCTGTTTGTATCTTAGATAACAAACGAGATAATGTTCAAATGTCATATATTTCAAAAAGGATCATCAACATCGCAAAACTTACCACGACGAATTTTGTAGCGATAACAACACGAGCTGAGGATGTCGTTTTTGTAGCAGCTGGTGTAGCATTAGCGGTAGTTGTAGGAAGCTGAGTGGTAGGAGGTTGAGTTGTGGGCATTTCATTTGTTCCCTCCGTACAATTCAAGGGATTACATTCGTTGCCTTCAATCTTGAACGAAGCCGATTCGGTGTCGGAAGTCACCGAGACATAGATTTGTCGGGTGAGCTCGTCGTCAGCTGACCGTTTAACTTTTGGCTTTGTATTTGCTACATGTATAATGGGTGTAATGACGATGATTTTGTCCGTTTGGGTTGAAAGGTCGTAGACAATGTCATAGTCGTACTTGTAAGGGTGAGGATTCGTCCGAGAGACGTAAACAAGCGTGCTACCAGATAAATCAACTACATTGATTTCGAGGTTTGAAGATTCCTTTACTTTGTAACTGAAATACTGATACGTGTCCTTTGCTACGTTTGTTATAATGGTCTCGTTAAGAGACGCAGAACGGGGTTCATAGCATGTTGACGCCGTTAACGTGGAAATGAATTTCGCAAGTTGGGTAAAAGTAGACAGCGTGTAAACATGTGACTCAGAAGTAGCAATCTCCTTAAGTTGTGTACGATTATACCCGCCGATTCCAATTGCATAAACAACGATGTTTTCATCTCTTACATTCTTTGCTGGAATTGAAACAACGTCGTGCGATTGACCGTCCGTTAGAACAATCAAAACACGAGGTACGCCATCTACTTCAGGACGCAGACCTCGTTCTTCGGTGAACTGATAGGTTAAAATGTGTTGTAGAGCTCGACCTAGTCTGGTACCTCCACCTGAGTAGGAAACTCGATTAACTGCGGAAAGATAGGCTGACTGATCTGTGTAGCTTGATAAATAGAAATGTGATCTGTAGCCGGAACTGAATGTGGACAAACCGAATCTGGTGCCATCTTTTCCGCTGAGTTTACCATCGGGAAATGCTTTTATCATGTTCTCTACAAAATTTAGGCTTTTTTGAAAGTTTGTGCTTCCAACACTGCCAGACTCGTCTATCAAGAAAACAACGTCAACAGAGCGGTTGCATTCCAAGAGAGTTGCTTCAATTATGTCTGCTTCGTTGTTTCGTCTGATCAAATCTCCTCTAGCTTGCTCGTTCGGATTCTTGTAAAAATTTCTCAGTTCTTTTATCGCATTGTCCCAATCATTTTTCTTCACAAATCCCCAGAACTTTGGATACGCCGAAGGATAACCAAACTGATACCAAACGCTGACGATGGCTGTACGAATACCACGAGGAACTGATGCAAACGCCAGCGCATTCTCATCTTTGTCGCTGTCGTATCTTTTTGAAACTTTATTAACAAAATCGCCTTTAACAGTGTCTGTCAAAGTGTTTGCCTCCGCTAGCGTTAGGCTCAAGGGACGTTCAATTGCAGCACAAGCAGCGAGATTTCGTTTCAAACCAAAATAAGGTTCAACTTTGTCAACAAGTGCGGGGCTTATACTCAATGACGTGAAATACGCCCTCGACTTGCTTCCAAAATCAACACCAGCGCCAATCGTAACGCCACTTTGCCCAAGGACGTCACCAGATTTTGGATCGATCGGGACGTATCCACACAAAGTAAAACCTTCATGACAGTTCAGAAACGTCTGGTAAATCATTGGTGCAGATGTTTCGCTGCCTTTAGGAATTCCTGACTTCCAGGAAGCTGGGCAGTCTAGCTGTTCAACTTTGCAATCCGTTGGAACTCGAAGTTTACCAATGTAATCTGATGGATTATAAACACCTCTGCAGTTGTATGGCTCTGCATAAATCATGCCAAGAACAAGTGCAAGAAGAATTAAAAACCTCACAAGCATTTTAACTAAAACTACCGACGACTAAGGTGCGTAAACGGCAAACGCTTCTGTGTGAAATAAAAGGCTTTATATATAATACAACGAATCGACTCAAATAAATTGGACTGACCAATGAGAACAAGTGCAATTTGAATAGCCATTGTGGGCAATTCCTAGTACTCAGAAAGAGACGATGAAACATAAAGAATTATTATGTTTGTTATACTGCATGCACTGTATGTTTACCGTAGCCAGTAGACCATAAAGCGCTTTGTTACGGCATAACATTCGCGGCATTTTAACATTATAGTAAGCGACATACAGGTTTTATAAATATGAAAAGTCCACGAAATTTCAAAACATGTGTTAGGCCTGTTTTCCACTCACGTGTTTCGCCGCCGCTGGCGAAATAACGGAGTGGAAAATGGGCATAAGAATTGTGTCCCTAAACTTGGTGATGCATATCCTACGCTGAACACAGCTGTTTGGTGAAACCCTGTTGACTTGAAACATCCGGAATTATAAAATGTCAAAATGGTCATGTAACTGCATAAGAAAAATTGATTAATTTTCTCTTCCAAGACATTTGGAATTTCATTCCTAAATATAGGAACGAGGTTGAATATGATGTTTGTGTGATGTTACTCTGAGTGCACATCCACACCGGGCAGGCTTGAAAAATATGCCTGGCCACGGCGGGATTCGAACCTACGACCTTTGGAATACTAGCCCAATGCTCTTCCAACTGAGCTACGCGGTCAGGACGGTTCGAGTAAGCGATATTTCGGAACTGAGTCTAGTTCCTTCAATATCAGTGTAATCTAATATTTATGAAATCTGTGTGCACTCAGAGTAACATCTCACAAACATCTTATTTACCTGAGTACATTACACCAACGCAGCAGGTTGAATATATTGCTGTTTTCGGAACCACCTCACATATGAATATCCGACTATAGTTTCATATTTATCCTGACACTATGGAGTACAGCTACAAATTCGGGCCCCTGGTTATTTATCTACCTAAGATAGTCTGGCACTCTGGCTAGTTTAACAAGGACGTCCAGGTCAAATATAACCAGATTCCCAGTTGCCTTAACCAGACTGTGTGGGAAATGATGTGAAATAAGCAGGAAATTTAACCAGGAATATTGAGTTAACCTTCAACTAGGGTTATTTCTACGTTAACCAGGCTGTTTTAGAGTGCAGGTTTCCTGTCTATTCGAATGACAAGTCTAACATGTTCGATTCTGAAAAGTGTGGAAAGACTTTCAAGATTTTCAGACATATCTCTACTCATACCTTGATTGAACTTTTCAACCTTTCGATTATGAGGCGAAGCTCTACCGACTATAAGCTAAACCTGTCGGTTTTGTAGCTCGGTAAAATTTAAGCAATGCAAAAAATATTATATGATTTCTAACCCGTGCGACACACGGACACATGCTATTGAACTGTCGAAGTAATTAAATGTTTAGACTTTCAACGTCATTCGCGAGATTTCTGCTGTGATGCTTTGTTCTATATATAGTTCTGTATTTAGCTTTACGTCGGTACATGTTCAAACTTATTAGCTTGTTACTGCTTTTGCTACTATATTACATTCTAGATTGTTTGTGTATGTTGATTTTTGCGTCTGGAAAGTGCTCATTTGTTTAAAATGGGCATACCACCTAATTGATATCTTACCTTGATTCTTTCGAAAGCACCTGTGTTGAAATTAATTTAGTGTTTGTAGCTGCAAATAATTAAGGAAATGCTTAACATTTACATACCTGCAATTATCATTACTTATATAATGCATGTTTACAACTAATTGTCCATTTATATTTTAAAAAGTCAATGTTCAAATGTCATATAGTTCAAAAAGCATCAACAAGATCGCAAAACCTACCACCACGAACTTTGTAGCAGTAAAAATACCACCTGAGGATATCGGAGGTGTAGGCATTTCATTTGTTCCCTCCGTACAGTTCAAGGGATTACATTCATTGGCTTCAATCTCGAACGAAGCCGAGTCAGTGTCGGAAGTTACCGAGACATAGATTTGTCGTGTGAGCTCGTCGTCGTCGGTTGACCGTTTTCCCTTTGTATCTGGTGTGGGACGAGCTGAAATGACGATGATTTTCTTCTTTTGCTGTGAAAGGTCGAAGGAAATGTCATTGTCGTACTTGTAAGGGTGAGGATTAGTGCGAGAGACGTAAACAAGCGTGCTACCAGATAAATCGGCTACACTGATTTCGAGGTTTGAAGATTCCTTTACTTTGTAACTGAAATACTGATACGTGTCCTTCGCTACATTCGTTATTATGGTCTCGTTAAGAGAAACAGGACGGGGTTCATAGCATGTTGATGACGTTAGCGTGGAAATGAATTTCTCAAGTTCCGTAAAAGTAGACAGCGTGTACACGTGTGACTCAGAAGAAGCAATCTCTTTAAGTTGTTCAAAATTATATTCGCCGATTCCAATTGCATAAATAACGATGTTTTCATTTCTCACATTCTTTGCTGGAATTGAAACAGCGTCGTTCGCTTCGCCGTCCGTTAGAACAATCAAAACACGAGGTACGCCATCTACTTCTGGACGCAAACCTCGTCCTTCGGTGAATTGATCGGTTAAGACGTGTTCTAGAGCATCACCAAGATAGGTAGATCCATGGGTGTACGACACTTGACTGACTGCAGAAAGGTACTCTGACTGATCTGTGTTGTCTGATAGATAGAAATGTGATTTATAGAGAGTACTGAATGTGGACAAACCGAATCTAGTGCCATTTTCCCCACTGAGTTTATCATCTGGAAATGCTTTTATCATGTTCTTTACAAAATCGAGGCTGTCATTAAAGTCTCCGAGGGAAACACTTCCAGATTCATCTATCAAGAAAACAACGTCAACAGAGCGGTTGCATCTAACAAGAGTTGCTTCAATTATGTCCGCTTCGTTGTTTCGTCTAATCAAGTCTCCTCTAGCTTGCTCGTTCGGATTCGTGATTCCCAATCGTTTTTCGTCACAAATCTCCAAAACCTTGGATAAGCCGTAGGATAACCAAACTGATACCAAACGCTGACGATGACTGTACGAATACCACGAGGGACTGATGCAAGCGCCAGCGCATTGTCATCTTTATCGCTGTCGTATCTTTTTGAAACTTCAGTAACCACATCGTTTGTAACTGTACGTGTTAAATTGTTTGCCTCCGCTAGCGTTAGTCTCAAGGGACGTTCAATCGCAGCACAGGCAGCGAGATTTCGTTTCAAACCAAAGTAAGGTTCAAGTTTGTCAACTAATGTGCTTGACAATGACGTGAAAGACGCCCTCGACTTGCTTCCAAGATCAACACCAGCGCCAACCGTAACGCCACTTTGCCCAAGGACTGCACCGGATTTTGGATCGATCGATACATAGCCACACGAAGTAAAACCTTCTTGACAGTTCAGAAATTTCTGGTCAATCATTGGCGAAGATGTTTCGCTGCCTTCAGGAATTCCCGACTTCCAAGAAGGCGGGCAGTCTGTGCGCGTAAGATCGCAATTAATTGGAACTCGAAGTTTACCAATGTAATCTGATTGAATATAATTACCTTTGCAGTTATATGGCTCGGCATAAACCATGCCAACTACAAATACAAGGAGAATTAGAAACCTCACAAGCATTTTAAATAAAATCTGAAGTGAAATGCCTTTTCGCTCATTCAATCATATCCGGTAGGATATAAAGTTTCGCAATGTTTAATAGGAGGAACAAATGAACTTGTTTTATTGCTGCAAATCACAATTTGGTGCCAGACAGATACAGCTTTTAAATTCACTTGATTAACATAAATATTAGATATTTACCCAATTAACATAACCAGTCCTCGTAAGTACAAAGACACCCACTGTGCATTTCGCGCTTAAATGTTTGACTTCGAGAGGGCTGCGAGAGGACAACTTTAATTGAATTAGCTGTACATCTCCTGGGTTTTATCCCTCTATAGGCAACCAATAATCTATTATCACACAGTCAGACATATTCGACCATTCTCCTTCTTCCCTGTCGTTACTATGGTTTCGTATATTTCCTTACTAGAGTAAATACCTTTAAACAAATGAAATGCATTGATTATTTGCTCTGTTGAATGTCGGTACTTGTGATGCAGCCTCCAACATGGCAGCCGTGACGTCACATCAAGTACTCCCTGCAAACCACTGATTTAAAAACTAGGACTGGATGGTGCATCCGTTGTGCGTAAATGAAGCCAATGGCAGCCATATTGACACAGAGTACTTACATACAGAATTCGCACTTCAGGTTAATATAGCGTAAGCTTTTGCTAATTTCGCGTTAAAATTAAGCAAGTGCCCTAAAGAGGGGGCCGTAACCCCCTGGAGACATATTGAAATTTAATGTTCTAGGGGGGTGAATGCCTCTCTTTACGGCACTTGCGAAGAACATGGTAGCCAACTATTTTGGTAAAAACTACCTTACGGTTTTCCCCCAGAAGTGAGACATCTGTATGTAAGTACTCTGTGATATTGGTGTGACCATCATATAAATCTACCGTGGTGTTGCTAAGTTGGTAGAAAAAGTTCTAACAGTTTCCCGTTATTGTTGGGAAAAGACACGTATTTTCTAAACTGGTCGTCACTCATTGGCCTCTCTCTCGTCTTAAAATTGCTGGTGAATAACTAATGAGGTCGCACCAGTTTGGCCGCCACAGGTGCGGGAAGCTATTTATTTCAAGCTACACGGGCAAAGACATTTGCTTGATAGTTAAGTACTATTTTAGCCCGCGTGCAGGCCCAAGGAACTGATAGTGGGCCTGCAAGCAAGGCCCGGTATTTTGTAAAACGCCCCTTTTCATAACACGCCCCATTCGCGCGTCAATTGTCAAAAAAGAACCAATGACAGCACCCAAATATTAACAAACAAACCAGTCTCGTTCCCCGAGCATGCCCGTTCGCAGGTTAAGGGTGGGCATAGCTCTGGAGAAATCGAATTGATTCAGGCCTGTGATTGGCTAACGGCAGATAGATGAGTTCAACATAAACAAAGTATTTGGAATTTCTCGTCGAAAATTTGATACTTTTTACACCGAAATCGATTGAAAACAACTAGAAATTCTGGAGGAAATATGTACGAAAGCTTCGGTTGGATAGGGATACAACTACCTGAAAAATACAAGGAGAACTTCGACGTTTCGAGCGAAGGCGCTTCGACTTGTACTGTTAGTGTTTGTATACATCGTACTTGACCTTTTATATACTGTCATACCTAACACTACGTATACCATAAATTCTGACAGAAGAGTTAAATGTAAATTTTAAAGCATCAAAATATATAATACTTATTATTGAGGAGATTAATATATTTATCAGCAAAGGTCAAGTACGATGTATACAAACACTTTACAGTTTACTAAACAGTACAGATCGAAGCGCCTTCGCTCGAAACGTCGAAGTTCTCCTTGTATTTTTCAGGTAGCTGTATCCCTATCCAACCGAAACTTTCGTACATATTTCCCCCAGAATTTTTAGTTGTTTTCAATTCGATTTCAGTGTAAAATGTATCAAATTTTCGACGCGAAATTCTAAATACTTTATTTATATTTTGCAACATTGCCGAGCATGAGTAGAACTCACGTTGGAAATTCAACGTGAATCAATTCGATTTCTCCAGAGCTATGCCCACCCTTAACCTGCGAACGGGCATGCTCGGGGAACGAGATTGCAAACAAACTCGCATTAAAATGTTGCGGGGTTTTCTCTGCTTATTCAGAACATAAACAATGTGTAAATGGCAGCGTTTTAACTCCAAAAAAGCAAGCAACGCAGTCAG